GGTCTGCGAGCCGGAGCCGGGCCGCGCGCCGGGCTTGCTGCCTCCTGCGGTGCGTGTGTTCTCACCCCCTGCCTTTGGTTTTTTCAGGCCTAGCTCTGCTAGCCCCAGTGGGAAGCCCTCTGGATCAGCAGTTAACATGGGCTCTGTGCAGGGACACTACGCTCACCAGGTAGAAGATGGCTTTCCAGACCTCCAGCCCCGACGCTTAGGCCTGCCTCCAAGCGCCAAAAGAGAAGGGACTGCCCACCCCATTTGCGTGCTCCTCTTGTAAAGAGAGGCGTGCCCTAGCGCTTAGAGCATGGCGCCAGGGGCCGAGTCCTTCTGGCGAAGGCATTGCTCCTCCTGACGGGCGTCTGGATCCTTCCTTGTCCTGCAGAGAAGGGAGGATGCGGAGTCCCCGGAGAGGTGACGCCAGCAGGTGGACTAGCCTCCTAGCGATTCGGGCTGTGAAGGTGCTGGGGCTGGGTTAGGTCTGTGGGTCAGCGCTAGCCGTCGGGCGTGCGCGTGAGCGTGCGCGTGTAGCCCTAGTAAGTGCCGTGTTTCGTCTGCCTGGCTGGGAGGGACCGCGATGGCGTGGCGTTTCCTGGCCGTGGGGCACTGTTCTCCCACTGCTCTGAGTACAGCGGGCTCCGGGGCTCGGACGTGTCAGCGCAGGCTTCTAGGTAGGGCAGCTCCTGGCTGGTGGAGGCGGAGGACTGGCCACTCATTTCACTTCTCCTGGCGTGGCTCCCGGGAGGGCCGCTCCTGGAAGAGCCTGGATTGAGGTAGTGCTCACGGTGCGGGGCAGGTTGAGGCCGGTCACTCTGGTGCACTGCCCAGTGCTGACCTGCGAGTAGGGGGACCCTGATGTGAACCTGGGGAAAGGCTCGAAGGTCCGGGAGACCCACGCCTGCCGGAGGCCCCGCCCCCGCAGACAGGCGGGTCTCGGGCTTTGTCCCTGTGGCCATGGGGTGCACTGATTGAGAAGGTTCTTGGGTCGGCCTTAGCTGGGCGGCCTGGGGAGGCCCGCGGGCACCGCAGAAGGCTGCCCGGAGGACCGGCGTCTTCCCGCCTCCGAGTCACTGCACTCCCCTGCGGGAGGGGACAGCACCACCGCGTCCTTACTGGGAGAGTTGCTTCTAGTCTGTCCTCCACCGAAGGATGGACTCCTTAGGGTAGCTCTTCTCTGCGGGGCTCAGGAGCAGGAGCGGGGCTGTGTAGCCACCGACGGCTGCCGTGTGAGGTTAACTGCGTTGTCCCGTTCATCTGTCCAAAGGCCAAGCCACGAGTGGATGAGAAGCCCGGCCTGGGAGCCGTGACGCTGCAGGAGGCCCCCTTGGCCGCCTCCCAGATGAAGCGCACAGGAGCCATCAAGCCTCGGGCGGTGAAAGTGGAGGAGAGCAAGGCCTGAGGCGCTGGCCTGGCCGCCTCACCATCCAACCACCTGGCCGGCCGGCAGAGAGAGATCCTCTCTCCACTCCTGACAGCTCCGACGTCCAACCAGCTTGCCCCGTGGATTGTGGCATTGACCTGCTTGCTTTCATCCGAAACGGCAACAGCCCTTCCCGTCTCCTTCCCGCCCCCGGCGGCCCTGAGGATGCAGCGCGGGCAGCTCCTCGTCTGAGCTCAGTGCTGCCCCGCCCCGTCTGGCCCCGTCCGGCCCTCTCCCGCTCGGTGGTGCGGCAGCAGGTCCTTTCCTTTGAAGCCTTTTGTTTTAAAAAGCAGCTAAAGCAGCCAAGGTTTTTACAGAGAAAGGAAAACAAAACACGAGCGATGTCTGTGTGGCTGAACTTTTACATGCTCTTCGCCAGCTCCCCGACCCCGTGTCCGGTAGTGTCCTGCCCTCCTGTTTAGTTGGATGCATCGCTGTGAGACGCCCTCCTGCTCTCCGTTGGTTAGCCTCTGCGGCCACACGCACCGCACGAGCACCCCGTGAGCTGGGGTTTATGGAAGGGTTTCTGTCCCGGAGCCTAAAGCCAGGGACGTGCTGGCTGCTGGCCCTGTGGTGAAGCGCGGACACAGTCACTGGTGTAGCCCAAGTTGGCCTGACGTGTGAGCAGGCAGCACCGCAGCCCCCACCCACCTCCCGCGTCTGCTCGAGGGCTCCGGCACCCAGGACTGCTGTTTCACTCATGCCCTTTCCGGAAGCCTCCACCTTCCTGCACCTTTTTCCCCCGGACCCTCCTCTCCCCCCCCAGCCCCACACTGGGGCCTGTGGCAGGGCTTCCTGCTCCTCCCCTCCTAGCAGCAGGCCCAGGTGGTGGGACAGGGCGCCTGAGCTGAGCAGTGAGGTCAGCCTTTCCAGCCGCGGGCAGGTCCAAGGGGGAGGCTGTGTTGCAGGGCTGGCCATGTTCTGAAACGGCCTGGGCAGCCACCCAAGTCTGCAGAGCTGCCTCCAGCAAAATGCTCGCGTGAGCCATTTCACACCGCGTTTTGTTGTTTTTTAACAACTAGAATCGCCCCAGATGCTGTCATTCCGAGGAAAGGGAGGGGAAGGCTCGAGTTTGGCACAGGCCCTTCGAGGAACTAAGCAGCACCCACAGAGAGGGCACCGCCTCTGGTCCCAGGGGACCTGGCTCAGCCCGTGTCCCTGTAGGTGTGCGCCGGCTGCTCGGGCTGCTGCTCAGCTCTGTCCAGGGTAGGACACGGGAGAGAGGGCCCTTGGGCTGCTGGAGCAGCTCGTGCTGTGATGACAGCTTTTAGGACGGGACACTGCCTGGCAGAGCTCCCGTCTCGCGACCTGGAGGCCAGTCTCCAGGGAAGAGCTTTACTGCTCACCTGGTAGCTTTCCGCACCCCCTTGCCTCCATCCTTGGACCTCACTGTTCACTGGCTTCTCTTTTCCCTTCATCTCCTGAATCTTTACTCTGGAGTCCTGTCCTCACTCTCCTGCCCCATGTGCTCATCTGCTCTGCCCCTCCCCCCCCATGAGAGCTGCTGCCTGCCCCACTCCCCGCTGCCCCATCGCCCGCTGCCCTGTAGGAGCCACACGCTCGCTGCCTGAACACCTGGGAACCTGCCCAGACCCTCTACCTGATTCTGGGGTCCGCTGCTTGTCTAAAGCAAAAAAGGTTTTCTCATTGTGAGACTCCACAGAACAGTTCTGGATGCTGTTACAAACGCAAGGTGTGCCCTCCTGGTGATCCTGACAGAGCGACAGTGCTTGTTTGAGGAAAATAAAAACACGGGGTCACCTGCTCTCCAGCCCTTTTCTCTGCCCTGTATTTTTTACTCCCCCCACCCCAGTAAAACAGAAAACACTAGAACTTATTTATATGTATTGTTGTAGGTCTAGGTGAAGGAAGGAAGTGTCCCACTGCGCTATTTATAGATGCGTCTGACTGACCCGTGCAGGAAGGCCAGGGGCTGCATGCGACCCTCAGTGCTTCCTCCGCCTCGTGTGCCCAGCTGCGGGCGCGTCCCCCCCGAGACATTTCCAGCTGGACTCGGGCAGAGGGTAGGCCCGGGCCTGCTGGCATCCCATCCCTTCCTTGGTCTGATTAAATGCAGTCTTTACTGCAGAGATGTTTTAAGGTGCAATCTCTTCCTTTCGCGTGGTTTTAGAGCTAAGCTCAAGGTAGTAGGACTTTGGGTCTTATTTTGGTTTCAAACCCCCCTTCAGAGCGCATAGCCACGAGGGGCCTCTGCCAGGGCGTTTTGGGGCCTTTGGTGGGAACAGGTGAAAACCCAAACTTACCTTTTCTGCTGCTGAGATGGGGGTGGTGTCCACGCCCTCGTGCACCTTAGCCTGCTCATCACAGTCGCCCTCTGATGCTGGCAGCTCCTCCTGCTGTTGAGGGTGCAGCCGCCGCTCCGCACCAGGAGCTGATGTAGCGTCCGTCCAGCGTCAGCTGCTCAGTGGAGTAAAATCCCAGCGTGTGGGGTCGTGTGTCTGAGGCGGCGTCCACCCACTGAAGATTCTCTGCCAGCTGTTCGGTCTGGTATTTTTACCGTTACTCACCCCTTCTGTCCACACTATTGTTTGCAAACTTGGAATTCATACACTTCTGGCTCCAGGTTCCTTAAGGGTAAAAACAAAGGATGACGGACACATTTCAGAAAAATTGGTTTGCCCACTTTCAAAGCTGTGGTCATTCCAGCCACTTCTCAGAACACTGAGCATCTTGCTACATACCGGCGTCCGTGCTCCGGTAGGCCCTCGCCCTCCTGCCTCCGGACCTGCCTCCTGGGTCATTGGTGAGATCTGTGACTGATGCTCAGAGCCACGGAGGAAAGGCGTGCCGGTGTGAGGTCGTGGGGCCAACGGCACAGCTCCTCCCTGCTGACCGGCGCCCCTCCACCAAGTAGCTGCGCGTTGCCTCTCATCTGGACGTGTTCCTTTCACCTGCAGAGCAAGCCTGGGTAGGAAGGTCGGCTGGAAGTGGCCTTTGACGAGGATACTTGAGTATTTGTGCTTTGTCGTGCTCTGATGAGTGGGACGTGCAGACTTCAGAAAGCCAGCCCTTCCGGTTTGAAGGCGTGAGATGGACCTGACACAGACCACCCAGGACAGGAACGGCCCAGCGTTGGGGTCAGACCGTTTGTCCCCTGTCGAGCTCTCCACTCGGACCACCAGCGCGTATCTGGCTATTGACCTTCAGGCCGCGTCCAACCTGCCGCTCAGTTCCTCCCCCGGGGTGGGTGGCCTCCGGGATGGTGGCAGCGTCCCCGGGGCCCCGTCTTCAGCATGTTGCAAAGCCTCCCAGGGGATCCTGTGCTGCAAGCTTCGGACCTCACGCCCTGCGTAGTGAAAAGGGTTTGGGGGTTTTTGTTGAGAGGGGTTTGTTTCCTTTTATTTTGGCCTTTCCTCTGTTTGTCTTTTCATACAGACCAGATATTTGAAAGGGCAGGCGATGGCTGAAGGTGTGATGTGCAGCTTGTTCGTACATTATTTTGCTATTGTTTCTCCTTTCAAATATGTGATTGTACTAACTCTTTCCATATGAAAGAATTCTCCTTATTTAAATAAAAAAGTTAAAAAAAAAAACCCACGACACCCTGAAGCTGGACATGCTTTCTCAGGCTGTGTCCCTGGGTTTTCTGTCATTTTCCTTTGAGTTTGCATGTTAATTAGGAGTGACCTGACTGAGATGCCTTAAAGCAACACGGGAGAGGGACTGAAGCCTGTGGGTTAGGGGCATTTTCCAAGGGGGTCGGCCTTAGCAGCCCCCACTGTGGTGTTGGGTGCGCATCTGCCTGCACTCGGCCCTCCCCTTGTCCCTGGAGAGGTGGGTGGCCAGAGGTGTCTGCTCTGCTGCTGGGCCTCCTGTCCCTTTGCTGGGAGCAGGCGCGGAGTGCGCTGCACTTCAGTGGAGGGAGGAGGAAGGGTCAAGAGCTTGCATTGGGGGGCAGGCGGCCGTGCTCGGTTCTGCCATCTCCCGGGTGTGACTCAGAAGACCTGTTTGTCACTGTTAACTAGAACTGGACTCTCCCAGGACCTACCTTAGGGGGTAGTGCGGGTTCAAAGGATGGAGGCAACTTACAAATCGTTCCCAAGTAGGTTCAACGTGTCCCCGAGGACCCTGCCCCGGGCACGTTCCTTCGCAGCCCGCAGCCCGGTGATGGGATAAAGGGGACACGGGCCAGGGTCTCCGCCGACACCGCCCTAGGCCCTGCCCTCCCGCAGCGAGTCCGGTGAGTCGCCTCACGCCGGGTGGGGTGACCAGCGTGCGGAACGGCCTCAGCAACAGCGAAAACGCAGCTGTTATGTCTGCAGCGTCTGTCGGTCCGGGTTAAGGTGCACGTGGACGAGGGACCTGGCGAGTCCCCGAGGGTCATCGTCCCGGCCCCCGCGGTCCAGTGAGGACACGCGGGTCCGCGCCACCAAGCGAGGGGCGGGTGCGGCCCTCTGTGTCGTGAAGCACGAGCGTGGGCTGCGGGGTGCGG